GGGGACCAAGAGGCAGCCGCGCCTCCTTATTCGTGAGTGTGAGTGTCCTGATTATTCGTGGGCGTCCTGATTCGAGGCTTCCGTGGACTGTTGCTTTATTACAGGTGTGCACTATCGCGCTCACATTAGGTGGTGCTTGGGATCGAACCCAGGGCTTTGGGCATGTGAGGCAAAGCGCTCTACCAACGGAGCTTCAAGCCCACCCGCTACTTAGCTTCCAGGCTCCTTTAGAAACCTGGTACTGTGCACACTTCCACACCGGCCCAGGCTTATTTATCCAGATCTTTGCACTCTCCAGCATACTTACGCAATTAACCTCCCCTGTCTAGAAATTCTGTAGTCCTTCCTCCAGCGAACTCCTATGCACCCTTGAGATCCCACTGGAACACAGAAGTCTCCATGGAGAACTTTGTGTCTGGTTGCTAGCGAAAGATGGCCCCCTTGGTATACTCTGAAGGGAAGCCGCAGCTCAGACCACAGTTCCTGATGTGCCCGGTTGTTTTCAGGGACATTGTATCAAAGTTAAAAAAAAATCAAAACTTGGTTTTTCAGTCACGAGGGGGCCGAGTACCCTAAGAGTCGTGGCTGAAGCCTTTGGATGCTACTGGGTTGGGTTGGTTCAGCGGCACTGAAAGGGAAAAGTAAACAATGTTGGTCCGAACAGTCTGTGGGGGGAAAAAGGGGGAGAAAAACTATTCATTGTGCCCCGGCTCGCCCCCTTGTGGTGAGGGCGGGAGGCGCAGACTCTCGGGTGAGGCACTCAGGGAAGGGCGGGACAGGAGAGGGAGAGTTGGCTGGCTGCTCTGGAGCCTGGGAAAGGTGGGGTGGCCTGTTAGAAGAAGGATGCTTGTCTGAAGACCCCCAGGGCTGCAAGCTGAAGACCGCACGGGCTTGCTTCATGCTGCAGAGGTTGTCACGGAGATGGGGCAACCGGAGAGAGCAGAGCGAGCCGGCTGTGCTCGCCCGCCGGCTATCATCATAAAGAGCACGCAGGTGGAGGGTGGGAGCTGACCCCTGCCTCCCGGCCTCCACTTTATAGCTGGTCTGTCTAGAGGAGGTGAGGGTCAAGGAGGCCGCAGAATGTTCTTTTAGTCTTTGAGATGGTCTTAGACCTTTGCCGTCACGCGTGCCCGGAGGAATGAGCACGCAGAGAGCTAACGAGATCTGGAGTCTAATCCGCTCTCTCGGGCTCTCTTGTTTATGTTGCTGTAAACCGGCTGTCAGTTTGGAAGAGCTACCCCGTGCATTGCACACTTTCAAAGCTCATCCACAGCTACTGCAGCCAGGACGCGCCACCCTTCCTCTCCCCAGTTTTGGAGGAGTGGACTTGAGTTCACTGCCAGGTCCCCTGTCTGACCTGTGATCCCACTGAACACCCCTTATTCAGCCCTGGCCCAGCCCAGGTGCCACCTTCCAGCCGGGGCAACAACCCTCTCTCGTCAACCTTGATTCTTTTGTTTGTTTGTTTGTTTGTTTTTTCGAGATAGGGTTTCTCTGTGGCTTTGGAGGCTGGCCTGGAACTCGCTCTGTAGACCAGGCTGGCCTCGAACTCACAGAGATCCGCCTGCCTCTGCCTCCCGAGTGCTGGGATTAAAGGCGTGCGCCACCAACGCCCGGCTGTGTCAACCTCGATTCTTTAGGGAGAGGCGGCTGTTGGTTGAGCGTGGGAGGAGGCTGAGGAAAGTGAACCCCAAAAAACACACTTCCAAATTGCTGCTCTTTCCTGTGGCCCAGAATTCGTAAGCAGATTCGTGCATCCAGTAACATTATCCGGCTTGCAGCAAGCCAGGAAATCCAAACTCGGCCTCGCTGTGGGCTCGGACCGTGCAAGCAACTCGAGCGCTCCCTCCCTCCCTCCCTCCCTCCCTCCCTCCCCCTCCCTCCCTCCCTCCCTCCCTCCCTCCCTCCCTCCCTCCCTCCCTCCCTCTCTCTCTCTCTCTCTCTCTCTCTCTCTCTCTCTCTCTCTCTCTCACATACGCACGCACACATGCACATACTAAAACAATACAAACGGCAGTCTCTCTTGTGTGTTTCAAGGGTCAGAAAAACAGGACTGGATTTCAGACCCTTGTTCCTCTGGACTCGACTTCCATCGTTTCCCGCTTAAGTCTCCAAGGCTCACCCAGCTATTCCTTCTCCCGGCTTTACAGGATCTTCTCAATGCACTGGTGCTTTCCATGACCACAGCCCCACGCAGGAAGAACCAGGGAAAACAGACGTGTGCACCACTGCACTTAGTTAGTGCTTACATGGGTGCTGGGGAACCGAACTTGGTTTCTCGGGCATGCACAGCCAGCTCTACTTGCTGAATTATTTCATTCCCTCTTAATGCTTCTAGTGTCTGGATGAACAAATGTGAATTTTTTGAGGTTCCTACACACACACACACACACACACACACAAATAATAAAGGATTTTAAGTGACTTCCATGACCCTCCCCTTTCACAGTAAATAAAATAGGAGAGTGGCTTCCCCCTCCCCCCAAATCCCGGAAGGGAAAGGATGAATGTTCTGACCAAGCAGCCATTCTCTTGGCTGTAAACGCTTGGGTCCCATCTCTGTAAACCTCATGCCTCAGTTTCTTTATTGTTGCTGGGATCAAATACCCAGACAACAGCAACTTCTGGGGAGAAGGTTCAGTCCTTTCTGACTCCGTAATCCAGGGTGCAGCTGGTTGGCTTTACTGTCGGTTTGACATGGGACAGCATCGTCTGGGAAGAGGGAGCCTACATCACATTGACCCGGCTGCAGGCAGGTCTGCTCCGCCATTTTCTTGACTAATGACTGAAGTGGGAGGACCCGCCCCACTCGAGGTAGTGCCTTCTCGGGGTCGGGGAGTCCTGGTTTGTATAAAAGAGCAGGGCGAGGATGCCACACAGGGCAAGCCAGAAAGCAGCTCTCCTCCGTGGACTTTGTTCTGGTCCCTGCCTCCAGGTTCCCGCCCTGAGTTCCTACCCTGGCTGCCTTTCATGAGGGACTGTGATTGGGACATGTCGTAGGACCAGTGAACCTTCTCGTCCCCAAGTTGTTTTTCATCATGGTGCTTTATTGCAGGAACAGAAAGCAAATTAATACAACCATAGCCCGGGGGGGGGGGTCGAAGGGGTGGCAGCTTGAAGGAGCGCAAGTCACGTCATATCCATAATCAGGATGCACTGCTGAGTGCATTTTACATTATTAGTACAGCCACGAACCTATGGGACAAGTGTGGACATTTATGGCTGAAACACGGTGCGTTTGCATCAAGTTTATAAGGGGTGGAATTGTAGTGTCTAAGCATTGTCAGTTGACAGAATCTAGAACCACCCTGGGGGGTGGGTTTCTGGGGGATTTATCTTGACTGCATTGATTAATGTCTGGAATACAGGACCAGCAGTGGAGAAAGGGAGCTGAGTCCTTGGTACCTGTTCATCGAGGGCAGGAGGATGAGTACTTGCTTGTGGTCATCACTGGATGGGGGGAACTGAGTACCCGCATGGTTTCATCACTGGATGGGGGGAACTGAGGAGTACCCGCATGGTTTCATCGCTGGATGGGGGGAACTGAGGAGTACCCGCATGGTTTCATCACTGGATGGGGGAACTGAGGAGTACCCGCATGGTTTCATCACTGGATGGGGGGACTGAGTACCCGCATGGTTTCATCACTGGATGGGGGAACTGAGGAGTACCCACATGGTTTCATCACTGGATGGGGGGACTGAGTACCCGCATGGTTTCATCACTGGATGGGGGAACTGAGGAGTACCCGCATGGTTTCATCACTGGATGGGGGGAACTGAGTACCCGCATGGTTTCATCACTGGATGGGGGGAACTGAGGAGTACCCGCATGGTTTCATCACTGGATGGGGGGAACTGAGGAGTACCCGCATGGTTTCATCACTGGATGGGGGAACTGAGGAGTACCCGCATGGTTTCATCACTGGATGGGGGGACTGAGTACCCGCATGGTTTCATCACTGGATGGGGGAACTGAGGAGTACCCACATGGTTTCATCACTGGATGGGGGGACTGAGGAGTACCCACATGGTTTCATCACTGGATGGGGGGACTGAGTACCCGCATGGTTTCATCACTGGATGGGCCCATGGCTGGGGCAGGGGTGATTTGCATACCCTCATCTCTCTCTGCTTCTTGACTCTGCGTGTGATGTGAGGAGCTGGTTGGAGCACCAGCCTCCACGACCCCCTTGCCATGACAGATTCTCAAACAATATTCCTACCGAGGTAGCCCCAGCTGACTTCAGTGCTCTATGTAGGTGAAAATGGTGTTGGATTCCTGATCCTCCTGCCTCTACTTCCCAAGTGCTGAGATTACACAAGTGTCCTTCTTATTCTCTTATTATTCTAGATCCTATCAACCCAGGTCGTCACCCCACCCCACCCCCAGGAGAGCCCTGCCTGACCCCACAGTGTTCCCCTTACTCCTGCCTGAGGGCAGCAGGTAGGCCATCTGCTGCGCAAAGTTAGAACACAGAAATGTTAGGGGTATGAAGTCATTATATGTCATCCAGCCCAACCTCGTCTTTCAGAGACGGGAAAACTGGGTTCCCAACAGGCAAGTGAAGGGTCTGTCGTGGTGGTGTGTGTCTGTAACCCCAGCACTTAGGATGTTGAGGCAGAAGGATCAGGAGATCAAGCCTAGCCTTGATTATATAGCACATTTGATGCCAACCTGAACTGCGAGAAACCTTGTCTCAAAAATACAAGGAGGAATGGGGGTGTGACTTTCTCCCTGGATGGCCGGCACTGGGAAAAATCCAACCTCCTTACCATACCATGAGGCCCTTGGGGGAGTCCTGGTGCTTTCAGCGGGCGACTGGATGGGAGTGTACCTCATTCAACACATTTATGATCAAGTAAGGAGAATGAAACCCAGGTTGATGATGATAATTACCAGTCCTTACCCACTATCTATCATACACCAGGTGACGTCTGAAAACCTAATTAGATTAACTAACTAGACCCTCCAAACAGCCCTTTAAGATATGTACTTACCCCTGGGGTAGTTCATTTTATGTCAGCTTGCCAGGCCACGCTATCCAGATATTTGGTTAAACATTATTCTGGATGTTTCTGTGAAAACAGCCAGTGTTTTGTGGATGAGATTCATCTCAAAAGATAGGTTGGAAGCTTTCTCTCTCTCCCTCCCTCTGTGAGCTCCCAGCAAGACAGCAGCTAGTCATCTGCAAACCCAGAGGGGCATCATCCACAGGAACCCAATGAACTGGTGCCTCGAACTTAGACTTCCAGCCTGCAGACTTGTGAGAAATAACTCATGTGGGGTTTAAACAGTCCAGCCTGTAGTATCTTGTTAGGATGCCCTGAGGTGACAAGATGTTTATTAGACACTCTCTGAGGCTGCTGACTTTGCATACTGGTGACCGAGGTCAGCGCCTGGAACTAAGAAGCCATCACCACATGTGGGCTGAACAAATAAGTCACAGCACGAGAAGAATATAATTTTTTGAGACAAACATCTGGCCAGAGTGCTGGTCCTCAATGGGGACAAGTTCCTGGATGTAGCAGGTGTCAGCTGCGGCTAAGAAGGTAGGAATGGGGTCTCAGAGGATGTCCCAGGACTTGGCCCCTGGCCCAGTTGTCTGGGGACACCTTGATGCTTCTGGAGGAAGGACCCTCCTGCTTCTGAATAGAACACGTCTCTTTGCTGGGATCTGGAAGGCTGTGCGTGCACAGCACTCCCTCATCAAAGGCCCTAGGAGTCTTGTGAGGCTGTCGCCTGATGGTTGGGCATAGATAGTGGGGGGGGGGGTTGGCACGTGGTGGGTGCCATGCAGTAGCTGTGTTGAATTGAGGGAGAGTTTTGTGGATTGCCAGCCATCTTTGATCCAGACAGAAGAGGGGGGTGGGCAGAACCAGGCAGTGGGCTCTGAGTAGTCAGCAGCTGTTGCCAGGAAGAGGTGGGGTGGGGGCTGAGAAGGGGGAAGTCATCCATAGGTTGAACCTATACATTCAAACAGCCTCAGGTTCCTGTGGGGGCCTCCTGCCCTTGGAGGGAAGAGTTGAAATGAGTGTTAGGGGTCTAGTAAAAGGTTCAGGGCAGAAATTAGAACATGGTCCTTGTCTGTTGTGGGGGTATGGGGAGGAAAAGGATCTGGAATGTTGTAGAATATTATTTTAAGATGTGATACATTTGTTTATGCCGTGGAACGTTTGTTTAATGATGCAAAGGTGTATTGCGTTCTTCTATGCTGCATTTGTTTAACTCTGTGAAGCTGAGTAACTTTGCGTGCCTAACACACCTGATTGGTCTAATGAAGAGCTGAATGGCCAATAGGAAGGCAGGAGAGAGAAACGGGTGGGACTGGAAGGCAGAAACAGGAGGAGTCTGGGAGGAAAAAACTGAGGGGCAAGAGAAGGAGAGAAGGATGCTAGTGGTCAGCCACCAAGCCACCCAGCCAGCCGTGGCGTAAGAGTGAAAGTAATATTGCTGGCCAGTGGTCACACACACCTTCATTACTAGCACTTGGGAGGCAGAGACAGGCAGATCTCTGTAGTTTAAGGCCAGCCTGGTCTACAGGGAGAGAATTCTAGGACAACCTCCAAAGCTACAAAGAAATCCTGTCTTGAAAAACAAAACAACAACACAAAAAAGCAAGTAAGATATACAGAAGTAAGAAAAATCTCAGAAGCAAAAGATAGATGAGATAATTTAAGTTAAAGAAAGCTGACTAGAAACAAGCCGGGCTAAGGCCAGGGATTTAAAATACAACCAACACTAAAACACAAAATAATCCAATTAAAAAGTGGGGTACAGAGCTAAATAGAGAATTATCAATAAAGGAGTCTAAAATGACTGATAGACACTTAAGAAAGTGCTCAATATCCTTAGCCATCAGGGAAATGCAAATCAAAACAGCTCTAAGATACCATTTTACTGCTGTCAGAATGGCTAAAATCAAAAACACTGAAGTTTATGCTGGAGAGGATGTGGAGAGAGAGGAACACGCCTCCACTGCTGGTGGGAGTGCCGACTCCGTACAGCCACTTTGGAAATCAGTATGGAGATTCCTCAGGAAAACAGGAATCAGTCTACCACAAGATCCAGCAATTCCACTCTTGGGCATATGCCCAAAAGATACACATTCATGCAACAAGAACATCTGTTCCACTATGTTCATAGCAGCATTATTTGTAATAGCCAGAACCTGGAAGCAACCTAGATGCCCCTCAACGGAAGAGTGGATAGAGAAAATGTGGTACATTTACACAATTGAGTACTACTCAATGGAATCTTGAAATTTGCAGGCAAATGAATGAAACTAGAAGAAACCATGCTGAGTGAGGTAACCCAGTCACAAAAAGACAACATGGTATGTACTCATATATGGATTTTAGACATAGAGCAGAGGATTACCAGCCTACAATCCACACTGCCAGAGAAGCTAGGAAACAAGGAGGACCCTAAGAGAGACATACATGGTCCCCTGGAAAAGAGGAAAGGGACAGGATCTCCTGAGCTAATTGGGAGGTAGGAGAAGGAGAAGGGGAGAAGAGAAGGGGGGGGGAGGACATTGGGAGCATGTGGGGAGGGGAAGAATAGAGGAGAACAAGAAAAGAGATACCATAATAGAAGGAGCCATTATAGGCTTAAAGAGAAATCTGGCACTAGGGAAATGTCCAGAGATCCACAAGGATGACACCAACTAACAATCTAAGCAATAGTGGGGAGGCTGTCTCAAATGGCCTTCCCTGATAATGAGGTCGATGACTTCCTTATATGCCATCCTAGAGCCTTCATCCAGTAGCTGATGGAAGCAGAAGCAGACACCCACAGCTAAACACTGAACTGAACTTCTGGAATCCAGTTGCAGAGAGGGAGGAGTGATGAGCAAAAGCGTCAAGACCAGGCTGCTGAAACCCACAGAAACAGCTGACCGGAACAAGGGGGAGCTCATGGACCCCAGACTGATAGCTGAGAAACCAACATAGGACTGATCCAGACCCCCTGAATGTGGATGTCAGTGAGGAGGCCTCGGCAATCTGTGGAACATCTGGTAGTAGATCAGTATTTATCCCTAGCATACGAATGGACTTTGAGAGTCCATTCCACATAGAGGGATACTCTCTCAGCTAGACACACAGAGGAGGATCTAGGCCCTGCTCCAAATGATATGACAGACTTTGAAGATCCCCATGGAAGGCCTCACCCTCCCTGGGGAGCAGAAAGGGGATGAGATGGGGGCTAGTGGGAGTCAGAGGAGGAGGGGAGGGAGAGGAAGTGGGGTTGACATGTAAAACAATCTTGTTTCTAATTTAAATAAAAAAGCAGAAAAAAATACAACCAACAACACTGAAATGCAGAGGACTCTCAGAACTAGGTCTGTTTTTTGTCTTGTTTTGTTTTTCGAGACATGGTTTCTCTGTATTGTTTTGAAGCCTGTCCTGGAACTCGCTCTGTAGACCAGACTGGCCTTGAACTCACAGAGATCCACCTGCCTCTGCCTCCTGAGTGCTGGGATTAAAGGCCTGCGCCACCAAAGCCTGGCACCCTAGGTCTATTTAAGAGTTACAAAAAGTTGTCTGAGGTCACCTCCCCAAGTATAGGCATGTAATTTGTAGGTGTCAATACAAAATAAGGCACAAGTCTCTTACTTTAAAAATGATGACACATTTCAAGATATCAGAACATTGAAATTCAGGGCAAGTATCCCTGTCACACAAACTGGAGGTGCAGACTATTTGAAGATGATCAAGGTGGAACTCTCAGAGGACAGGGCAAACATTTCTTAGTCACACACACTTTAGCTGTTTCTCTGTGTCCCTTTTCTTACTTTTAATACAAGATTTCCTCCCTCCCTCCCTCCCTCCCTCCCTCCCTCCCTCCCTCCCTCCCTCCCTTTCTTCCTTCCTTCTGAGTCCCCTATAGCCTGTCAGTGATTTCCCCATACAGCCAAGGATGATTTTTCATCTCTGACCCCCCTGAGTTCAGGTGCTGGGATTATAGGTGTGGGTCACTATGCTTCGTGTGTGTGTGTGTGTGTGTGTGTGTGTGTGTGTGTGTGTGTGTGGCGCTAGGGATCAAACCCAGAGCTCTCTGCATGCTACCAACTGAGTCACATCCCTAGCCTGTGGTATCAGTTTGTAGCTCAAACCATTCTGTAACTTTCTGTGTAGCCCAGGATAGCCTTGAACCGTGGGCAGTTGTCTCACCTCAGTTTTCTAAGCTGGGATGGTCGTCTGGTCCAGCCGTTTTCTCCCCAGAGTGATGCGGACAATACAAGCCTCTGTGTGACAGGTCCCATTCCCTCCATTTCATCCCAAGTAACGTTCTGATTTTTGTTTTGAGTCCACTTCCTCCTTTGGAGCTGGGAGTGAAGAAGAACGTATGATTATTGGCTAAACCAATCGCTGTTCCCGATGGCAATAATCATGTAACTCAGACCTACTCGACACGGTAAATTTCAAGACCAGCTGAAGCCTCACCAACTCCCACCCACTTAAACCAGGTGCATGTGGACGGAGCCTGGGTAACAGCAGCCAGGGCTGCCCACTCAGAGCCTGGGCTAACATGAAGTCAGAAGTTAGCTGGGGCAAGTTTGAAGCATAATGATGTCATTCCCATCCTGATTCAGGGCTTTATGCTAATCTAATGCCCCTTGGTGTGCTTTTCCTGGCTGACAAGTCTGATTTTTTTTTTTCCATAAAACAGCCCTAACTGATCTGCTCCCTCCCAGGGCTGCTTTGAAGATTAAGGAGGAATCCCATTTAGAGTTCTCAGCTATTATGACATTAATGCAATGAGGGAGAGCTAAGCCGTCGCTGCCACCACTGCTGCCACTGTTGTTGTTTTGTTGTTGGCTGTGTCTGGTGCAGCCTGGCTTTGCCGTTGCGGCTCTAACTCACTTCCAGCTGCAGAGATCTCAGGGAGAGGGAGCTCCCCAGGGCTGCCTTTGTTTGGAAGCAGCATCTCCCTGTGAGCCTCTGCTGGCTTCCCAGTGTGCTCATCAGGCTGAAATTGCAGCCTTCCCAGCTGTTGGCCATGGAGACAACCCCGAAAATGAGGCTGGCTCAGTAAATATTGAACCGAATTATGCAAACGAGTTCACACAAGCAACTCAGCTGCGAAGATAGATAGGGTCTGATTGGTGGGGCCTGGCTGAATTTGTAGGAGCACCCCCACACACACATACCCACACCCACTCCTTGCCAATGTTCTTAGTCAAAGATGAACACCTGGATCCTGCCAGAGAGGGAGGCCTATTCTGGGGCAGGGCGGGGCTGCTGCCTGCTCTGAGGCCCATGAAGGAGGGAAACTGGAATTACTTTGGGGGGAGGAGGAGTGAGGGATGAAGGCGAGATGCTTAGTTCTTCCTTTCCCCTCCTGCTTCAAAGAGGCTGCCTTGAGAACTGAACCTTTAAGGCCACAGTCTGGCAGGGCGATGGGTATCTCACCCCTACGGCACAGGCGGCACCCTACGGAGATGGTGGGACAGTGGGCCATTTCTTTTTTTCCTTTCTTTGGGAGATGTTTTTCATGGGGTCCACCGCAGAGGAACCCACAGTGGGTAGGCAGCTGCCTCCCTGAAGGTCTTTTGTGCTAGCGGAGATGAGCTGGAGGCCTCTGGCAGTCTAGTGGGCACTTCCGTAGAGGTCCCGTGCGCACAAAGGCAAACCTCTGGCAGTCTAGTGGGCACTTCCGTAGAGGTCCCGTGCGCACAAAGGTGTTTGTTTGCCTAAGGGCAGGAAGTTTGTAACTAGAGCCAGGAGCATGGGTGAAGTGGGGCCAATGGCTGGTGCATTTATTAACTTTTGTGGCATGGACCACCTTTCCCACCAGAAAAAGGCCAAGCTTCGTACGAATGCTAATCTCTGTGTTAAGGCCGTCACGGTAGAGAAGGCAGAGAGGAAGACATGTCAGACCGCTGCGGCGGTTGGAAAGAAAAACGGCCCCCAAAGGGAGTGGCACCATTGGTGTGTGTGTCTTTGTTAGAGTAGGTGTAGTCTTGTAGGAGGAAGTGTGTCACTGTGGGGCCAGGCTTTGAGGTCTTTTCCGCTCAAGCTTCCCCCAGCGTGACACTGAGAATACTTCCGGTTGCCTGCAAAGACGTAGGACTCCCGGCTGTGTCTCCAGCACCGTGTCTGCCTGCGTGTGGCTGTGTCCAACCATGACGATGACAATGGACTGAACCTCTGAAACTGTGAGCCACCCCAGTGAAATGTTTTCCTTTGTAAGAGTTGCCGTGGTCATGGTGTCCCTTCACAGCAATAGAGACCCTAAGATAGACATCGTGGTGGGACGGCCACGCGGAGGGCTGGCTGCTCACATTACCAAGGAGGCAGAGTGGGTACCAGGGGCTGGGCTACAACCTGTAAAGTTTGGCCCTTTGTGACCCTACTTCCTGGAAGGCCTCATCCCCCAAAAGCTTCCACAGCCTTTCAGAATGTTACCACCAGATGGGAAACAAGTGTTCAAACTCAAGCCCGTGAGGGGCAGTCCAAGCTGGAGCATCACAGCTGGGTGGGTAGACAGTTCTGGGTCCCCTGTGTGAAGCCCAGCCCTTCCCAGTTCTGTGCCCTGGCCAGCAGGGCACAACAAAGGTCGAGTCCCCCAGGAACCTGGAATGAAAGGGACAAGAGACACAAAGAACGGACAGCAGGACAGGCTTTCTGATCAAGCTGCAATTTTTTATTTTCTCACAAGGATTCTTAATAGTGGTTGAAGCAGGAAGCTGGGCAGAGCAGGGGGCTTAGGTGGGAGAGGCTATTGCTTTGAAGCGGGGAGCTTGGTCTTGGCAGGGTGTGTTCCAAGGACACAAGTCTGCGGCTGGGGGAGTCTGGATTGCAGGCCAGGTGGCAGAAGGGTGGGAGAGCCTGGACTGCAGGCCTTGAAAGTATGCTGTGCAGGAAGATAAGCAGGCACAGAGACGTAGAAGCTTAACTAAGTGTTAGTCTCTAAGAATACAGTAGGAATATAAAGATGGCTTTTGTTATGCTATCCTTATTTAGGACCTTCCCCAGCTGGCAATATTCACAAGAGGCCCTATATTCCAATGGTGGCTCCCGGCAGTTCTGCCATTTGAAGGGATGGGACTGAGCTGAAGATGCAGAGCAAGATGGATGCAGCCTTCCCCCGAAACCAAGACAGCCAGAGAAACAACACGGGAATGGACACTCTCTGCTCCTCCAGGGAGGACTTACGGGGCAAAGGGCTGCCTTGGTCCAGCAGGGCTGGATGTTTAGTGTGTCCTGCAGGGTGGTGTACTGGGATGGGTCTGAGAGCTCTCGGACATCAGTGGCCATTGTTGCATTGTCATCAAACATTTTTACTAAAGACAGCCAGTCAGTGGTGTGGCCTCTGTGAACTAAAAACCATGGTCACCACACTGCATGCCCTTTGGTAATTTAGTCAAGTTCTCTTCCTAATTTTAGCAAGAAGCTTACAAATGCATTTGCCATGTTGCTTGGCTGTTACAAACAAATTCTCTCTCTCTCTCTCTCTCTCTCTCTCTCTCTCTCTCTCTCTCCCTCCCTCCCTTTCTCCCCCTCTCCCTCCCTCTTGCTCCCTCCCTCCCTCCCTCTCCTTCCCCCTCTCTCTCCCTCTCTCTCCCTCTCTCTTTCTCTCCCTTCCGCCCTCCCCCACCTCTCTGATACTTTGTCCCCATAGTCCACACTTTTCTGGTTATCTGGTTCAGCACCTCTACAAGTGTTTCCACTTTCAATTCCATGAGATCACGTTCATCTGAAATTATTCTAGCCGCAGTTAGGGTAAGCCAGTAAATCCAGGCAACCCGGAGCTGTCTGTAGGGAAAACGGGCACCTGGGAACTGGGAAGCGGATGAGCACAGCTAACCACAAAGATTCATCACTTATCAATCATCCCTGGGGCACCAGAGAGGATTCTTTCTTTCCTTTTTGCCTCAGGGTTTGGTTCCCTTTAAGGAAAACCCCCAGCCCACCCTGTAAGCCCCAAGCTAATCTTGTCCTGTGTTCACCCTTTGTCAGGTCCATATCTGTCAGCTTATCTCTCCCACACCCATGCAGGGACACCTGCTACCTCCAGTCACCTGAGGGAAGTCATGGTTGGGGGAAATCCCAGGTACACTCACACCAGCTGTGCTCGGCTCCTGACAGCCTGTCTCCTCCTTGTTCCTCTGACTGCTCATCCCGCAAACTCCGGCTCTGAGGGCAACGGATCTGTGCCCAGCACTGGCTCACACCAAAGACGAGCAAGTCCAGACTTTGCTCGTAGAGAGCAAGGGAGAAGACTTGCTGGTTCAGCGTGTCAAGCAGGGCTGGAGACTTGGCGCCGTGGGTGGGTCAAGGGAACTTGGTAGGCAAGCGTGAGGACTTGAGTTTGGATCCCGGCACCCTAGGAAAAGCTGAGTGTGACAGTTCTTCACAGATCTTGGAAGGCCAACTCTCAGTTTCGTATGGAAAAACAAAAACCCAGGACACATGAAACAATCCTGAACAATGAAAGAACTGCTGGAGGTCTTACCATTCCTGGTTGAACTACAGAGCTATAATAATAATAATAATAATAAACAGCATGGTATGAGCATAAAAATAGGCACATTGGTCAATGGAATTGAATTGAAGACCAAGACTTAAATCCACACACCCGTGGAGACATGATCTTTGATAAAGAAGCTGGAAATACACACTGGGGAAACAAGCCAGCATCATCAACAAATGGTGCTGGTCAAACAGAATTTCTGCTTGTAGAAGAGCGCAAACACATCCATGCTTTTGTCCTGCAGAAATTCAACTCCAATTGGATCAAAGACCACACCCATTGCACCTGGTAGAAGAGCAAGGGAGGGATGGCCTTGAGTTCACAGGGTAGACACCAGGATTGACAGATAACAAATGGGACTTCATGAAACTGAAAGGCTTCAGTGAGACAAAGGACACCACCACTGGACAAAGTGGCAGCCTACAGAATAGGAAAGGACTTTTTATCAGCTCCACATCTGATAGGGGACTAATATCCAAAACGCATAAAGAATTTAGGAAACTAGATGTCAAGAAAGCCACCCCATGAAAAAATGGGGTGCAGACCTAGACAGAGAACCCTCAATAGAGGGAACTCAGATGACCGGGAAGCACCTAAAGGCACAACATCCTTTGCCATCAGGGAAATGAAAACTCAAAACTGCTTTGACGTTCTGTCTTACACCTGCCAGAATGGCTGAGACCAATGACACACACATGCTGTCCAGGATGTGGAGCAAGGGGGACTGCAGGACCCACAGGAAGTGACTGCTGAACTCAAACAGTCTTTCAGGGTTCCTGCTTTGTGGAAGAGTCTGCCAGACTTTCTGCAGGACAAAGAAAAATGACTGACAGACTGCCAATGCAGATGGACAGCTTGAAATTTCCTGCTTTGCTGAGAAGTCTTCCAGACACACTGTGGCCTATGGGCTGAAGATGGATGCCCCAACGTTACAGAGGAACTTTGGGTGACTGTCCAGGTAGTGAGACGTCTCTGTCAGTTCTCGTGTTTATATATTATTCTTCTGTGGTCTTTGATGGAGTTGAAGGCAGATAATTATCATCATAGTTTTCCTTAGTTATGATAAAAGATAAGTTACATATAAGACTTTAAACTCATAAAGATAGGATAGGTGATACTTTCTTTAAATCTCACTAAATGTTAATGAACAAAATATTGTAACTTGTATTCTTACTTGATAACTGCTCTGTGATATATAATTTGACTATGTTAAAGTTAAAACTTTTCTTTTTATTTAGACAGAAAAGAGCAGGTGATGGGGACGTCCTGTGTATATGTCAATAAAGCACTGTTGGCCAATAAGGAAGCAAGATAGGTGGGACTAGGAGTTGAGGAGAATTCTGGGAAAGAGAGACACGGCAGAGACAATGTAGCCTGACAGAGAAGATGTCCGGACCCTTTTCTCCAGTAAGAGAAATACTTAGATTAGCAATTATGGGATAAATACTTAAGTCAGAGCTAGCCAGTAAGAAACAAGCCAACAGCTAACAGCTTCATAATTAATATAGCCTCCTGTGTGTTATTTGGGGACTGCAACTGTGGCAGAGTCCAAGCGGCTGGCGGAGGAAAACTACACAGCCACTATGGAAATCAGTGTGGCAGTTCCTCAGACAGATGGAAGCCAATCTACCTCAAAATCTAGCTACACCACTCTTGGGCATCTACCCAAAGGATACTTCATCCTACCTCAAGCATACTTGCTCAACCATGTTCAGTCTGAAACTGGGGACAACCTAGAGTTCCCTCAACAGAAGAATGGATAAAGAAAATGTGGTACATTTACACAATGGAGTACTACTCAGCTTGTTAAAAAAAATGACGTCGTGAAATTTACAGGGAATTACCTGGAACTAGAAAAAAATAAAACTATCCTGAGTGAGGTAACCCAGACCCAGAAAGATAAATATGGTATGTATTTGCTTATGTATGGATATTAGTCATTAAATAAATGATAATCAAGCTACAATCATTAGACCCCATAGACATTAGTTATAGAGGAAGGGACGAGGGTGATACAAGGATCTCCTGAGGAGGGGAAAATAGAATAGATTTAATGGGTGAAATGAGAATCAGAGAGGCGGGGATGAAAAGATCAGTTGGGTAAAGGAGGAGGACTGAGGAGGAATACAGGGAGAGACATCAGGAATTGGGGGGCTAATCCCAGCACTCTGGAGGCAGAGGGAGGCGGGTCTCT